ATATTCGTGCCAAAAAACAATAGTTGCAAAAAATTTTGTTTTAATCTAGCTCAATTCTAACCCATAGTTAATTTAATACAACGAGTCTCAACCCTTTTGGCGCCGCTTTTATATATAGTGAATTCTATACAATAGTCTGATTAACAAACAGGTGTCATATCAAAGACTTCCTCCAGAAGTGGAGGAATCAATGTCTTCAGCGTGTATTCCATTGTATTCTTCCTCTGAGCCTCTTTTAAGACATTTAAATCCATTATTATATTCATTAGTCTCAAGAATCGCGACATTGCCTCACATTCTGATCGATACTTCAGTTGTAAATATCGTTGTAATAAACGCATATAAATGTGTTGTTGGAGTCGATATTGTGTGACAAATTTTAAAAAGTCAATTAATAATGTAACTAGAAAATGTAAATATCGAAATTTAAAATTGTTAAAAATAAAATTCTAAAATATATAATTATTTACTTGATAACGTTTCTATTAGCAAGGTTTGGACGATCGGGATTGAACAAAGTTATTGATGACATCTATGAAATTGATTAAATTAATTTTCAATAGAAGTTTTACAAGTACATATAATATTTAGAAAATTAATTCATACCAAATCAAGTATAATGATATCGGTGTCCCAAATGGCAGCCATTTTTTGCACAAATTTAGTGTACGGCTTATAATAATAGTCAATATTTTCCAAATAATCAATTTTTACGACAATCGAGTGTTCCGTATCCTATGAACAATAAGTTAGACCAAGCTTAAATATTATATAGTTAAATGTAAATTAATGTCACATACCATGGGAACTTTGAGAGTATTATACGTGTAATCAAAATACATGATAGACCTCAAGAATATGATGTCAAAGCACCCGTACTTCAGTAGTGAGATCTGGTCCTCACAGCAAATAGTTCTGAATGCGGACAACCTTTTGACAGCTTTGGTCTGAACTCTGATGGCTGTGTCATATTTGGTGGCAAATGACTGATGAATATCATACATAGTGTCCAAGAATTTGATGTTAGTGCTCATCGGGGCGCCCAGAAACTGAGTGCATGTCTTCATCTCATTCAGTAAATACATCTCCGTTTCATTGAAACCAGTTTTGCATTCACTTAGAGGTCTCGCGATAGGTATCACCGAAACGGCAAACTCTACGGCCGTTTCGATCGTCTCGTTTGACACATTATAACCCGTTTGTGAATCAATTTCATCGCAATTATTATATACACCAATTTGCTGGTCATTCATCGTGTTATCAAAACTATTGTCTACAATGTAATCAATGAAATCTTTGGAAACAGTGCTCTCTATTTCCATAATCTGTTGGTTGAGAGCATCGGCACTGAAATTGATGTCATCGAGTATTTCGCATAAAATATCATTATTTGTGTTATTATTGGTGTTTAATCAATGAAATCTTTGGAAACAGTGCTCTCTATTTCCATAATCTGTTGGTTGAGAGCATCGGCACTGAAATTGATGTCATCGAGTATTTCGCATAAAATATCATTATTTGTGTTATTATTGGTGTTTGAGATGTCATTTCCAAGCGATGTTTCCTGCGATGAGTGTATCAATGATTCAAGACTTTCATCATTACTATTAAAACTGTTATCCTTTTTGTTTTTGTTTTCTAATATCCTGAGTCTTTTCATCTCCCGTTCCTCTTCATTCAATATCCAGTCCTTTCTCATATAAAACTTGGTTTAATAATTATAATCATGAGCATTTCTATTTATACCCGTCTCATTCCGACGGCCAGGCATTTGTCTAATCGACACTTTGAGCAAAACCTTCGCGTGATTTCATCGAGTTTGCAGTTATTGTCGAAATGGCATTTGAGCTATAATTTGATGGCCAAATAATTTATCAAATTACTATTTGTTTATAAATAAAAAAGTTAATATTACACGGTTCACATGATACGGCACCAAAGTTTTTACCTGAATAATATTCAGTTAATAATATTATATATTATATAATAATTATTTATGAATGTTTGTTAATATACAAAAATTTGTGATTAACTAGCGATGGAATGACCTCGCGCATCATTTCCAAAAATCAGAACTTAAAAATATTGTATAGTTTTTGAGATCTAAGCAATGTGTTGTAGCTACCGTTCCCCTAAAGATTTAGGGGAAAGTTGGCATACGAGTATATTCGTGCCAAAATACAATAGTTGCAAAAAATTTTGTTTTAATCTAGCTCAATTCTAACCCATAGTTAATTTAATACAACGAGTCTCAACCCTTTTGGCGCCGCTTTTATATCATTGATACGTTTGTCATTGATACCAAGGGATAAAAATAATATTTTTATAATATATTTTAGTGCAATGTTAATGTTCAGCCATTGATTGGTTAAAATGCGAAAATTGTATTTATTGTATTCATATTAATTATGTTCAAATCGTTATATAATAACAAATAAACCCAGAATCACATATTTTAAAAGCAAATTAAAATTAATTACTTTATCATTTTGTGCATAACATCTTATTTTTAAATTGTTGCATTTTTTCATTTTGATATACTATTTAGTTTATTAACTATAATATACTTAACTCTAAATAAATAATAATTTTACAATTAAACACATTTTATCCATATGTCTAATTAGTTACTGGTACTTAAATACAAATTAATATGGATAAGTGTGGTTTATTATGTTTTAGGGTTGAACCAGATTTTGATATTGTGAAGTTACTATATTATAATTATATGTATAAAATAGTAACACTTATCAAACTTTAATTTTACAATTTTAAAGTCAGTATTAAAAGTAAAGTACTTTATAGTATTAAATATAATTTGATTATTACAAATATTAATAACTTATTAAAATTTAAATACCAATTACGAACTATAAATATTAATAAATAATTTTAATTGTTTATTTATTAAAATGTTGCAGCAAAATATAATTTGAAACACAAAAAAAATGTAAGTATCATTAACCTTGAATATAAAAGAATAATTCGCTTGTGAATTAATATGGTGAAACTAGTTTTGTATGATTTACCCCCGATTGTATATAGAAATTATAAGCCATTACCTAGACTCGTATACGCAAACTCTTGTGGTAATAATAATCATTAATGTCTAAATGCACTTATCATATAAACACTGATATATGCAGTCGTGTTTCAAATCTGAAATCAACTCTCATTCAAAAAACTTATGATTTTTTCTATTTCTTAGAAATATTTTTATTAATTATTCTATTTTTAGTGAATTTCATCGTCAAGAATATATAATTAAGTTTTATAACAAATAATTTGTGTTTGAAACGCAATTGCCAGATACATTATGCCCATATATTTTTGTGGTCTAAAATATACAAATAAAAATAAGTACAGTAGTTGAAATCTGAAAGCTATTTTTTAGCTCTGTTAAAGTGTGTTTATAATCTAAAATTAATATAATTGTTATTTGAATATAATTATTATATAACACTCAACTTAAATTTTAATACAACGAGTTTCCAAGAAAACCTGTCTTAAGATTGTAATTTTTATTTAATTCTTATTAAAATTATTAATATAATGTTTATTAAATAAAAAACGCCTAATTTGCCATAAATAATAACATGGGTGACAAAGAAACCACGAAAAGATGTAGTGTTTGTGGATATAAAGCAACAGGTATGATATAAAATGCTACACGCTAATTAATCACAAATTTTTGTATATTAACAAACATTAATAAATAATTATTATATATTCAGGTAAGAACTTTGGTGCCGTATCATGTGAACCTTGTAAAGCCTTTTTCCGTAGGAATGCCTTAAAGAATACTGTAAATATTAGCTATTTGCAAAATAATAATAATTTAATAAATTGTTTGGTCATCAAATTATAGCTCAAATGCCATTTAGATAATAACTGCAAACTCGATCAAATCACCCGAAGGTTTTGCTCAAAGTGTCGATTAAACAAATGCCTGGCCGTCGGAATGAGACGGGTATAAATAGAAATGCACAAGGTCATGATTATAATTATTAAACCTGGTTTTATATGAGAAAGGACTTGATATTGAATGACGAGGAACGGGAGATGAAAAGACTTAAGATATTAGAAAACAAAAAGAAAAAGGATAACAGTTTTAATAGTAATGATGAAAGTCTTGAATCATTGATAGACTCATCGCAGGAAACATCGCTTGGAAATGACATCTCAAACACCAATAATAACACAAATAATGATATTTTATGCGAAATACTCGATGACAACCATTTCAGTGCCGATGCCCTCAACCAACAGATTATGGAAATAGAGAGCACTGTCTCCAAAGATTTTATTGATAACATTGTAGACAATAGTTTCGATAACACGATAAATGACCAGCAAATTGGTGTTTATAATAATTGTAATGAAATTAATTCACAATCCGATTATAATGTGTCAAACGAGACGATCGAAAAGGCCGTTGAGTTTGCCGTTTCGGTGGTACCTATCGCGCGACCTCTAAGTGAATGCAAAACTGGTTTCAATGTAACGGAAATTTATTTACTGATTGAGATGAAGACATGCACTAAATTTCTGGGCGCCCCGATGAGCACTAACATAAAATCCTTGGACACTATGTATGATATTCATCAGTCATTTACCACCAAATATGACACATCCATCAGAGATCAGACAAAAGCTGTCAAATGGTTGTCCGCATTCAGAAATATTTGCTGTGAGGACCAGATCTCACTACTGAAGTACGGGTGCTTTGATATCATATTCTTGAGGTCTATCATGTATTTTGATTACACGGATAATACTCTCAAAGTTCCCATGGTATGTGACATTAATTTACATTAAAACTGTAGAATATTTAAGCTTGGTCTAACTTATTGTTCATAGGATACGGAACACTCGATTGTAGTAAAAGTTGATTATTTGAAAAATATTGACTATTATTATAAGCCGTACATTAAATTTGTGCAAAAAATGGCTGATATTTGGGACACGGATATAACTATACTTGATTTGGTATGAATTAAATTTCTAAATATTATATGTATTTGTAAAACTTCTATTGATAATTAATTCAATCATTTTGATAGATGTCATCAATAACTTTGTTCAATCCCGATCGTCCAAACCTTGCTAATAGAAACGTTATCAAGTAATTAATTAATTATATATTTTATAGTTTTATTTTTATCGATTCTAACTTTTGAGATTTATATTTTCTAGTTATATATGTATTATTACTTGACTTTTTGTATATTTGTCACACAATATAGACTCCAACAACACATTTATATGCATTTATTGCAACGATATTTACAATTGAAGTATCGATCAAAATGTGAGGCAATGTCGCGATTCTTGATACTAATGAATATAATAATGGATTTAAATGTCTTAAGAGAAGCCATGAGAAAGCTTATAATGGAAGACACGCCAAAGACTTTGATTCCGCCACTTGTCGAGGAGGTCTTTGATATAACACCTGTTTGTTAATCAGACTATTGTATATTATACGCGCAGTCATTGATACCAAGAAATAAAATATTATTTTTATAATATAATTTAGTTCAATGTTAATGTTAAGCCATTGTTTGGTTAAAATGCGAAACTTGTATTTATTGTATTCATATTAATTATGTTCAAATCGTTATATAAGTACAAATTAACCCAGAATCAAATATTTTTAAAGCAAATTAAAACTGATTATTTACATAACTTATTTTTATTTTATTTTATTTATTTTTATTATAACTATAATCTTATTTTTAAAAAACACGTTGCATTTTGATATAATATTTAGTTTATTAACCAAAACTCTAAATAACTCTAAATAAATAGTAATTTTACAATTAAACACATTTTATCCATATGTCTAATTAGTTAACCTTTTATCAGCCTTAAACCCCAATAAACATTATTAAAAATTATGTAATGTAAAATATGTTCACAAACCAACAGTAGTTAAACTTCTAACCTGACAAACTATATTAAATATAATAAGTTATCAACATTTAATAACCAACCATAATATAAAATATGTATTTGTTTATGACATAATAATATTTCAAGAAATAATATTTATGAAATAGACATTAATCTCAATTGCCAAATAGTTAACACTTATTTAAATATTTCAAATAAATCATAGTTTGCTTTCCTTTTATTACTTACAAAATACTTTAAAACTACATAAATTGTTTAGTTAATGAAAATAATAACTATTATCCAAATGGGAAATGAGGCATAATTTCATGTGAATAAGTCTTTAATATTAAAATATTTAAATGACTTTACAGTTACGACAGAATTACTAAATACATTAACTAATTAAAGGTTTGACCAGACTTTGGAAAAGTATACAATTATTTTTGCTAAAGGTCGCAAAATATTTGTATTCAAAACTATTTTCAAGCTCATTAACCATTGAATTAATTTTTCCTTGTATTTTATTTGTCATTAAAAATAAACCATATGTTGATATATATTTATAATGATTAGTTTATCACCAGTACTAATATTTTTATGCATATTGCTAATAATTATCACGACATAATTTAAATTATTTTATAAAAATACTTGAATGGATTGGGATAATATTTTTATTACATTATACAAATACAGGTATTACAATTTACAAAATTACAATACAAATTAATATAGATAAGTGTGGTTTATTATGTTTTTGGGTTAAACCAGATTTTTGATATTGTGAAGCTACTATACATACTGTATAATACTACTGAAGCTACTGTATTATATTTACTGGTATCAAATAGTAAGACTTATCTAACTTTAATTTTACAATTTTAAAGACAGTATTAATAATAAAGTACTTTAGTGTATTAAACATAATTTGATTATTATAAATATTTATAGTTTATTATAATTTAAATAGCAATTACGTAATATAAATATTAATACATAAATAAAAAATATTAGAAACACAAAAGACAATTTGTAACACAAAAAAATGTTAGAATCATTAACCTTGAACATAAAAAATAATTCGCTCGTGAATTAATATGATGAAACTAGTTTTGTATGATTTATCCCCGATTCTATATAGAAATAATAAGCCATTACCTAGACTCGTATACGCAAACTCTTGTGGTAATAATAATCATTAATGTCTAAATGCACTTATCATAGATGCACTGATTTTTAGTCGTGTTTAAAATCCCAAATCAACACTCATTCAAAAAACTTATGGTTTTTTCTATTTCTTAGAAATATTTTTATTAATTATTCTATTTTTAGTGAATTTCATCGTCAAGATTATATAATTAAGTTTTATTACAAACAATTTAT